AACAATCTAGGAGAAAAAACTTTTCTCTACTCAACAGAATATGAAACAAATAAAATGTGGATTCAACTGACAATCCAACTATTTAGTGTTTTTTATTATTTTCTACCCAATCTAATGTTTTAGACTCAAAATAAACGAAACTAAATAAGTCAATGACGTTAATAACAATGAATCATCAGCGATAGACAACTTAATATTTGTGCAATCATTTAAATATGAGTTGAAGCTGAAACGCTGTCCACATAATGAATGATAGGGAGAGATAAACTGAAATGCAATATATTTTTTTATAGACAACATTAATCGATCTATTGCATACACACAAAGCAGATCGTAGATCAACCAAAGATATCTAATTTGTATTAATGATTTTTCAACACTATTGCTATAGTGGCTAACAAAATTATTGGCCCATCTGTATTTTTAGTTTCTCGCCTCGATCATAATCCGTAGAACAAATCGAAAAAAAGATTTGAATAGCTGAAAGAATTTTCAATCTAATGTGCTGTATACAAGAATTGGATCTCGACGTTTGTAAAACCATCATCTCTTAAAAACGAAAATCTTAAAAAAGCAAATCCCAAATTCGACGAATACGTTTTTTGAAATCAGTTGTATCTGTTAGAGCAAACATTTCTTAACAAAATGAGACGTCTATTCATGGCACAACATTGAATTTAGGAAAGGTCCTATATCACCAAAATTAACGGGAAAACACGAAAGATATGCCCTCGCGGCTTTCGTAAATTGAATGCTGTGCCATGAAATGTAAACGTCTCATTTTGTTAAGAAATGCTTGCTCTAATAGATACAGCTATTTTCAAAAAACGTATTCGTCGGATTCGGAACTTACTTTTTTAAGATTTTCGTTTTTAAGAGATGATGGTTTCACAAACGTCGAGATCGAATTTTTATATACGGCACATTAGATTGGAAATTCTTCCAGCTATTCAAATTTTTTTATCGATTTATTCTCAGGACCGTAGCCATGGGGTAGGCAAACACCCATCCCTTTAGATTTTACTTCAATGTATAATATACACTAAATTTATAGGTGATAAATGCCGTGTGGAGATAAAACGCAAGAAAAAGTGCTCGACCTAGCTTTAACATGGAAAATCAGACTAGTAAAGATGAAACTTTTTTGTAAATGCCCACCTACGGCCCTGTTTGTTCTAGCTATTATGATCGAGGAGAAAAATTAAAAATAAAGGTGGGCCAATAATTTTGTTGGTCACTGTACAAAGCGCTTAGTAATAGTACTTGCTGCCCAAAAGAAAGCTTTAACGAGGCGCATTGCTCGCAACCATGTAATGATCATTACAAAGTGAAATAGCTTTGTATAAAAACAATTGAAGGATCTGTTTGAACTAGAAAGCACCTACCATTGGTTGGGCGCTCATCATTGGTCCCGATGTCGAAGCAGCGAATGGATTTGTTGACGTGGGTGCTGGCTGATTCCAAAGTCCTGCTGGCTGCGGTGTAATCTGCAAGAAAAGTTAGTTCACAATACATTCAGACCCTTTGTTTTTTTGAGTGTTCTAACCATTGGTTGTGCTGGAAAGGATGACATCGCATTTGAATTCCAATTGGTACCAATTTTTTGTTGGTTTTTAATATCACTTGCTGTCCACTGATGATCTTTTCTAAATTAAAAATTAAAGCGAGATCGATAGAATGAAAAAACTGATTTATTCTTTTGGTATGTACTTGAGTGCTGTTGTCCGATTATTCATATCTAAATTATCGATCAATTGACTCAATGATGAATTCAGATCGGAATTTAATGGTTTTACATTTGTTGTTGTTGACGATATGTTGCTAGTCGGAAATAATGGTACATTTGATTTTGCTTGAGTCATTGAAGAAGAGACATTCGTTGGTTGAAGGATATCATCAAAAAAATTTGCTAAATTAGATAGACAAGATTAAGCCGTTACTATTATTTTATTTGAAAAAGTATGACAACTAGAGCATCATGGTGACGCTATCCCTAAACCAATGCGTGCAAGTGTAATGAGTGATACGTAAAATTCTTTACAACGAATACATCTAACAAAACAACAGGAAAATAGTACGAAGAATTCCCGATAATAATCAGCACTTTCACATAATATCACTTCAAAAGAATTGAGCCCTCTACAAAATTTCCATATACATAAAACAAAAGACTCACAAATAGGAAGACTCAAATGATACCAATCTAATGTGCATTTCTTATACAAACTAAGTAACTTTTCGTAAGTTTATAACCTGTATTAAAGCAAGATAGGTCTAGGTTGGTACACTTACATCTCATTGTAAAACTCTTCATTATGTCTAATAGAATTTTCTTTTATAATAAAAGCATCGAAAAAACTTGTACGCTACGAACAGGTTTACATTTTGTACATTAATGAAACAATAATGGTTCATGCAATACATACAAAATAGAATTATCACAAAACTGATGTACTACAGACACCGATGTCGAAATATAATCTCTACCTTCAGCATTGTTTGTACCAGATACCTCGGTAGGAAGAGATTTATCATCATCATCAGCTTAAAGAAGAAAGTATATCTATCTGTTTATTTTATATATTAGAATTCTGAGTTTGTATGTATAAAACTGAACTGTAATCTTCCATAAATTCAGCAATTAACTGACCTCTTGGTGTTGTTGAGTCCGATATGCTGAATAATTGTTGTTGTTGTTGTTGTTGTTGTTGTTGTTGTTGTGGAAATGGAAACTGTTGCATAGGTACTGTCATTGAAGTTGAATTAAAGAGAGATGATGTTTGTGGTGTTTGGGAAAACGTAGGAGATGCCAATGAAAATAGATCATCTGTTAAAGATGATGAAGCAGGCTGTTGTTGCTGTTGATAATGATGACCGTTTGTTGCTTGTTGTTGGAAAAAATCATCACCTGTATTTTGGTTTGACGGTGGTGACGATGATAAGGAATGTTCTTTACTCTACAAATACAAAATTGATTCATAAGATTCAGATCCCTAAAGGATAATAATGAAGATGCTCCTCATTATAATTTATCCTGAAGATAAACATCCTGTAATTAAGCTGATTTACTCTATAGTAGAAAATAAATAAATTTCATACTTTATTAAATTGTGCCAACGCTTTTGCCTCTTCTTCAAGAATTTTTTGTGCATCATCGTTATCGTTAAAGATTAAATCACGCGAAAAAGTTTTCAAATCTTGTTCAGTTTGCTGTCTACAAGTATATATTAAGACTATTAGAGAAAAAAGAAGACAAGACAACAATGAAATTATACCTAGATATCGAAGATGTTAACGTAACTTTTTTGCCTTCTAAATGTGCCAGATGATTTTCAAGTGCTTCTAATAAACTGCTTGGTGCCTATAACATGACGAGAAAAAATAGTTCGCTTTTACTATGTATTAAAGCTCTCTGTCATCATCTAATTAATTGTATGAATTAGATTCAAAAATATTCATCATGCACCTAAGCTCAAAACAGATAGATGTATACTCTTACTTACAGAATTATTTTGAACTAAAGTCTGCAGAATGATGAATGAGTATGTTTATCATAAAATATAAATGAATTGTAGTCAGTTAAACTTACTCGTGATAAATCAGGAATTTCACTTCGTTCCATTCCAGATGTCTAGAAAGTAAACAAATACTAATGTAACAAAGTGAGACTAGTATGCGACATACACGAGTTAGTATTCAATATGAATGAAACATAGCAAAATTGAACAGTCCTGCATCACAGTGCATCAGTATAACAGACATCTAAGCAAATACGGACAAAAGTCCGAAGAATATCTTTCCTTCTGACAGTCATGATTCACTTTTCTGCGTTAGTCATACTGACAACGTGTGGATCTGTCATTTTCGAATTTTTCAATTAGTACAACTCCCATGTATTAAATGTTAATTGCCAGATAAAGCAGTTATAATAAATTCTTATTGCGAGTCTAAAACATTAGATTGGGTAGAAAATAATAAAAAACACTAAATAGTTGGATTGTCAGTTGAATCCACATTTTATTTGTTTCATATTCTGTTGAGTAGAGAAAAGTTTTTTCTCCTAGATTGTT